CATTTATTGAACTGTGGCTCAGTGCCCAGCTGTGCTGACGTTTTGAATTTGGCTGAGGCACTCCTTCGGGAATCCCCGGACTTGGGTGACCGGTTCGAATCTGGCAAATCTGTGTCGGCTGGTTTTTTTTTCCGGTTCAAGCCGGGGGCACGTAAGCTCTGCCTCTCTCATCCTGCCTCAGTCAGAGCAGTCAACCGACTCATTCGCGCTCTGGCCCCAGATCATGTTTTCTCCAGTTCTGTTATCATCTCAGGTGTGCATTCTCCGAGGCACCAGGACCGCCTCAACGCCTGCGCCCCCAACATTCTGATTCCATTGTCTTGCTTCTCTGGGGGCGAACTTCGTGTGTTTGAGGCTGTTGCTCACCCTGACAGTGAGCTGCGCCTGCCCGCTGCATCTCTGGCTGTGCTTCCTGTTGCATCAGGTCCGGTTTCCTTCAATGCTCGGGACTGCCCCCATGAAGTTTTGCCGTCTCAGGGACTGCGCGTGGTCCTGGCTGCGTACACTCTTGAGGCTGCACTTCATTTGGGAGCCTATCCTGCACTTCGGTCGGACCTCGTTGACTTGGGTTTTCCCTTGCCACCAGCGGACTTTGTGTATGCTGCCAGTGAGCTGCAGCCTAAACTGCTCACCCTTTCAGCCGCGCAAAAGGCCTTGCTCCCGTCACTGTGTCGTCCAAGCGAGCCTCAATCTGACATTACGTGTGCATCTGTGGAGGCCCCTGCTGCCACTCCATCGCTCGTAGGGGATGCCCTCCTTGGGTCGTGCAATCTCCCGCCCTCTACGCCACGGCTCTTCCTGGATTTATTTGCGGGGGCTCGTGCGCCTGTCACCTCGGCCGTCCTCGAGCTGAAGCGCGACTGCTTCCCGCCAGTGGATCTGATCATCGATGCATCTCGGAACATCCTCGATGATGACTTCTTTGCCTTGCTGTGCCGCATCGCTGATTCGGGCCTTGTTGGTGCAGCTCTTGCGGCACCGGTTTGCTCGTTGCATAGCATACTACGTCTGCGTCCGGGCGGCCCCAAACCCCTCCGGGACTTTGAGCATCCCTCCGGACGCCCCGACCTCAACTGGGACGAGTCCGGCCAACTCCAGGAAAGCACGCTGCTGCATGATCGCACTCGACTCTTGCTCTCTCGCGTCGGCGCCTCGGGTGGACTTATCATCCTGGAGAATCCTGCATCGTCTCTTACATTCCACGACCAGCTCATGATGGACTGGATCTCCTGCGAGGCCCCTTTCTGTGCGCAGGTTGCATCGTGCATGGTCGGCGCCTCCTTCTCGAAATCCTGGATGTTTGTTTCTAACCAGCCTTGCATCCTGGAGCTTGCCTGTGTGTGCTCACATGCCCGCGGCACTCACGAGTCCTTTGTTGGCAAGCGCGATGGCACTGGCTTTCTAAGTCGCCGCACGGCCGAGTACCCAGCTGAGTTGGCTTCCTCCCTTGCAAGTTTGTGTGCTCCATTCCTGTCCAGCCTCGGCAACTGTGTGGACTTCTCTCAGTGGCGGTCATTCCTTCCATCGGATCCTGCTTGGGTTGCGCCCTCTTGCAGAGTGGAGGATGGGGGCGGCATCAACAGCACCGCGTGCTGGTTGCAGCCTCCTGCTGCTGACCTTCTTCATTCACTCCGAAGTCATTGGTCTCAGCGCCTGTTTGACACTGGATTGTGTCTGCGCATTGCATGCGGCACACCTTCAGCTGGCACCTCAGGGACCACCCTTGGCGGACACGGACATTGTTCCTTTCTTGCAAGACATCTTTGAGGCTTTCCAGGTGGCCCCTGCCGATCAAGCTGACCTGCTCTTCATTGCACCAGGTCAGCCCTTGCGCCTGAGACTTCTGAAGTTCTTGTTAACGCAGATCCAGGACTCGGAAGCCTCTCTCTGTGACCAGCTTGAGTCAGGCGTTTCCTTAGGGGTGGGTGCTTCTTTGGAACCCTCCCTGCATTGGCCCAAGCGTGACTCCGAACTCGTCATCCCCGCGTTACATCTCTGCGAGGGAGCCTGGAAATCGGCTGAGAGTGAGCCCGACATCGTGCATACCCTGCTCGAAGAGGAACTTCGTGAGTCCTGGATTGCCGAGTATGCATCTCTAGATGCGATCCAGAATGAGTTTCCTCAGGTTGCATTAGGTCGACTGGGTTTAGTGCTTGCGGAAGGTCGCTCCCCCAGATTGGTCGTGGACTCCAGCATCAGCGGAGTCACATCTTCATCTGTGATTCCCAATCATGTCTTCAATCCTCGCATTGAAGACGTGTCAGGCTGTGCACCCTCTTATGTCCCGTCGGACCCCTGGGTGGGCGCTTCCATCGATGTGAAGAAAGCTCACCGTCGCATGAAAATCGCCCCGCATGAACGTGCGTTGCTTGCATTCTCCTTTCGGGGGCGCTATTTTGTCAGCAATTGCCTCAACTTTGGTGCTCGTGCCTCGTCTTGGTACTGGGCCCGACTGGCCGGTGCCATACACAGGGTCACACACTTCATCATCTTCCTGAAGCACTGCCTTTGGGTCTATGTGGATGACTGGCTGGCTGGTTTTCAAAAGTCCACGGCTCCACTGCATGTCAGTCTTTGGGTGATGCTTCTTCTCTGCATCAACCTGCCAATTTCATGGTCCAAATGCTCCATTGGAGATCAGATCACCTGGATCGGCTGGAGGATCTCGTTTGATTCATGGACCGTGGAGCTGCCGGAAGAGAAGATTCATCGAATTCTTAACCAGCTCGCCTCGATGTGCAAGCAAAATCGTGTCAAAGTCAAAGACTTGGAATCCATCATCGGGCGACTTCTCTGGCTGACAGGGCTCTGGCGCTTGCTACGCCCCTTGCTTCAGCCTCTTTATGCCGCTCTGCGAGATATACCTTGCACAATTGTGGCCGTGTCGCCGCAGCTGTGGACTCAGATCCTCGCTGCCTGTGACGATTCGGGGCGCCTCCAGCGTTCTCTGAATCATGCATCATTCCCTGAAGGGGCACGCCTGACTCGCGCAGGGAACACTGCTATCTCGTCTCTGGCGCAGCTCAAGCGCGTCCCTTTCATCAAGCGTCGCTTGTGGGTCTCCATCCAGGACTCCGACCACCCACTGCGGTGTCTCTCACAGCAGTCCATTGCTGCCTTGCATTCTTGGACGGCTATCTTGAGTTCCACACCTTGTGTCTTCAACATCAAGCAAGCACCTTTATTGCATCTGGTGGCCGAAGCGGACGCCGTCGCTGATGAGGACATGTGTGGGCTGGGAGGGTACATTCAATGGCCCTCTGGCGTGTGCAGATGGTTCTCCATCTCCCTGAATCCATCGCAGGTGAAGGAGTTCTTTCCCTCCCTGGAGGGCTCTCTGCAGCCTCACATTTGTGCCCTTGAGCTCCTTGCTCAGTTTTGCCTTCTTTGGATTGCTTCGGAGATGATACCGCGCGCACGTCATCAGCTTACTGTGCCGATGCGATCCGACAACTCCGGTGCGGAACTTGCATCCGTTAAAGGGATGTCATCGGTCAAGATCCTGGGCGAGGTCCTTCTTGCATTTCTTGATTTCCAACGCAGGAATGGCTTGCATGCCTCGGTTGAGCGCATTCCAGGTTACAGGAGACCTGGCCGACGAGCTCAGCCGTCTTCGCGATGCATCTTCTCCACTACCTGCGTGCGACAGAATGCATCCTCCTTTACACTTCCTGCTTCGCTCAGCAGGTCGTGTGTGTCGCCCTGACTCGGCCAAATGGCCTAAGCCTTGGCGCTGAGAGCGAAAAAGTCCGTGCATTGCAGCTGTCACGAGTTTCATGTTCGGGGATTTCCCCTGCGGGTCGTTCCGAGCTGACGTTTGGTGCTGCCCCTCCATGCATTACGTTTGCTCGCTTCTTTCGAAGCCTTCGCCTGCATTCCAC